TTTAAGGGACGCGGGTGGCGCTGTGGGTAAAACCTCAGTGCCTAGGACTTGCCGATCGTATGGTCGGCGGTTCGAATCCCCGCGGCGGGTGAGCTCCCGTCTTTCGGTCCCAGCTCCTGCCCACCTAGCAGTTCGAAAGCACCCCGAAGTGCAAGTAGATAAATAGGTACCGCTTTCTAGCGGGGAGGTAAACGGCGTTTCTGTGTGCTGCGCTGGTGCTGGCTCGCCAGAGCAGCTTCGTCACGCTGGCCACGTGACCCGGAAGTGTCTCCGGACAGCGCTGGCCCCCAGCCTCTTAAGTGAGATGGGTGCACAACCCTAGAGTCGGACACGACTGGCCTGTATGGGCAGGGGTACCTTTACCTATAGTTTAAACTAACCAGAGTTCCAGTTCCATTGATATCAGTTCTATTACTGAGCCATGATAACTACCCCAAAGGAAGCAAGGTATTCCAATAAAATGCAATTCTGTCTCGCGTGCCTGTCATTGTCTCCAGCAAAGAACTCAAAAGCAGTATTCTAATTTCCCCATTTTTCCACAGGTACACGCAATAGATGTGTCCATACAAATCTGTGAACTGGCATACTAGCAGATCTGGTAACTTCCCTTCACTCCCAAGGTTTGGACATAACAATAAACACCAGTTATTTGAAAACAGAAAACACATGCTTCCTTGAATCCTCCTCAGGAAAGATGGGTTGAAGGAAAGAGAATAAAAGTGCAGGAACCGAAGGTTGTTTACACTGCACTATGCACATGGTATAGTTTAGCATTATGCCCAAATCGAGTCACTATGTTAGTTTTGATAAACATCTCAGCTTCACCACTGTTACAGAAAACAACAAAGTTTTGTTATAAATAGGTTTTTAAAAATCCAGATAAAAATAGTGAGACAGGAATTTATGTGTGATCCTTCTATATAGAGCAGCATGGGATAATGCACCAAGCACTCCAATAACTGTCCTGCTTACATAATTTACGCCACATAATTTACACCCTGTTGTACAATCTCTTTTTTACCTATAAGCCTTCTCCCACAAACAACAGAACCAAAGCTGAAAAAGCATTAGAAAAATGGCCCTAATAGAACACACTGTCATGTTTCTATGCTTCTATGTTCTTTAACACGCACTTACCTTTTCTGTTTTTCAGCTGAATAGGAAAAAGTCTTCTGCCTTGTTTATATATCAACAATCTTCCTAAGAGGCTCAGGGAATGAACAAAATATATATACTGCAATTCTTTTCCAGTGTAAAAATTCTTCTGTTTATTACCTTGAAAGACAAGACAGTTCATGTCAATAAACCTGTGCTGTCTCTTGCTTCGTTCTTGTATACTAGAGTCCAAGCAATCACATGCTATCATGTATTTATAAAGAAAACTGCCAAGATCACAAAAAATGCAACCACCAATAAAAATTGGATTTTCCATTTCGAGGTGGAAGGGAAGCCTCACACAGTTGAAATGTTATTTAGAAATTCTGAGCTAGAACATATTCTGAACATTTGTCATAAAAAGCACTACTGGAACACTGCTACATATTTTATTAAAATGTAAGCAAAAAAGAAGACTTCAAATAAATATATATTATTCAGCATATGGAAAAATTACTTACCATTATGCAATGTAGAGGAAGAATTAAACCTGCCTGTTTTATCAACCACTGATTCACAAGTTTCAAGATAGGAAACACACTGCTCAACAGATGCAATAATCTGACGAATAAAACAACAAAGTATATCAAAATTCACAGAAAATGCCTATTACACAATTCCCTCTATTAATAAAGATTCACTTCACTCACATCATTAGCAAATTTGCATTTGACCCTTTTCACATTAATTTTGGGTTGGTAGAAGTATATACAGGCAGTAGGGTAAATTATAAAGTCTCTGCAGAACATCATATTTAGAATGTAAAACTGAACTTCCTAAATGGCCATATTGATAAACAAAAATCAATTAAGGAGTATGTAGTATCTTAAGATATGTCTTGGTTCAGTTGTAATTGATATGTACTTTGTTCCTTGTATTGAGAAAGGATATTGACTGATGAAAAAACAGACTTACCAAAGATTTGTATTTTTTTTCAAGTAGCCTTAGCACCACTGTTCTGCTATAATATGCATGCTAAAATGACAAAACAGACATACATTACACTTAAAGCACTGAGTAGAAAATAAAAATGATTCAATTATTTTTCAACTGATTACAAGATCAAAATTGCACAGTAAGTTCTGAAGTTAAAAGTAAAGTGACCATTAGGGGTGACTGACTCTGGGGTTGCAGTGCTCATCTCGCTTTATTGACCGAGGGAGACGGCGTACAGCTTCCGGGTCATGTGGCCAGCAGGACTAAGCCGCTTCTGGTGAACCAGAGCAGCACACGGAAACGCCGTTTACCTTCCCGCCAGAGCGGTACCTATTTATCTACTTGCACTTTGATGTGCTTTCCAGTGGCGTAGCGTGGGGGGTGCAGGGGGTGCCGGCCGCACCGGGCGCAACATCTGGGGTTAGGGCAAATCCACGGGTTAGGGGGCGCAAATCCACAGGTTAGGGGGCGCAAATCCACTGGTTAGGGGGCGCAAATTACTTGCCTTGCCCCGGGTGCTGACAACCCACGCTACGCCGCTGGTGCTTTCGAACTGCTATATTGGCAGGAGCAGGGACCGAGCAACGGGAGCTCACCCTGTCGCGGGGGATTCGAACCGCCGACCTTCTGATCTGCAAGTCCTAGGCTCTGTGGTTTAACCCACAGCGCCCTAGTCCATGTTAATATATCTTGGGTTTGGAGATAGGTGTGCATGAGAAGCAAATAAGTGCTTTGGTATTTACTGGAAAACATAGTTCAAATTGTCTGTAAACCTACAGCACTATTTTAATTTCATTTTGACTACTGCCTGTTGACACCAAGGACAATTCTACCCATACTCTATAGCAGGGGTGGATGGTTGCTGGATTTCAGTTCTCTTTAGCCCCAGCCAGCATGGCCGATGGTCCAGGGGTAGTGGAAGTTTCAGTCCCACATATGGAGAGCCCCCAGTTCACCATCCCACACTACAGCATGGGTAGGCAAACTAAGGCCTGGGGGCCAGATCCGGCCCAATCACCTTCTAAATCCAGCCTACGGACGGTCTGGGAATCAGCAGTTTTTACATGAGTAGAATGTGTCCTTTTATTTAAAATGCATCTCTGGGTTAATTTGTGGGGCTGCCTGGGTTTTGACATGAGCAGAATGTGTCCTTTTATTTAAAATGCATCTCTGGGTTATTTGCGGGGCATAGGAATTTGTTGTTGTTTTTCCCCAAAATATAGTCCTGGGCCCCCCACAAAGTCTGAGGACAGTGGACCTGGCCCCTGCTGAAAAAGTTTGCTGACCCCTGCTCTACAGCATTCTAAAACAAGGGACATTCCACATGTGTAATAGATTAAGTCATCTATTTCTTAAGCACAGTCCAGACACCATGCCTCCAAGATGCATTTCCACTGTAGGATCATGCAATTAATTTGCTTATGGTGGGATTTAGTGTTAAATCCATCATGTGCTAGCAGAGTGCTATAGTATTCCTGCAGTGCGAGTTTTTGGGGGTTTTTAAAATACAAGTAGACCTCCTCCTGCATGTTCTTAACTTGGTTTAGTTTGAAATATTTACGTGGGGTTGCATTCTAAACCCCTGGTGAGCCCATACCATTCCCAATAAGCCAGATGAAGGAGAAACCTGCAACCTTCCTGAGCAATTCCTCCAGAAATTGCAACTTATCTCATCTATTGCATTACACTGACACATTCAATATCAACCTCTTGAAGAAAAGACTAAGAGGATTATTAGCTCAAGGCATATCAACAAAGCAATAACCTTGAAGGACTAACAGAAGAAGCTGCAATCAGCAAAATACATACATTTGCTTACCATCCATTTTTTAAACCAAAACAGCCTTGAGATCGACTAGAGCCAAGAAGTACACGGGATCCAAAGAAACAGGGTGGCTTGAACTCACGCTTTGCTGACAGAAGTGACAGGGGTACTCTCCATTATTTCTTCCATGTACCTAAATATGTTATAAAGAACGAGCTGTTAAATAAAATCCCGAATGTTCATACTGATGCCATTTGTATTTAGACTCTCCATCATTCAAAAAAGGAATTTAAAAGGGAAAGAAATCAGATGCATTTTAATATTTTCAACTTTACTGTGAATATGATTTTTTAAAGCCAAGAAATTGTATGTACTTTTTTTTTTGTATACACCAAAGAAAGTCACCTTCAAAAGGAGATTAAGAAAGTTACATGAGCAATATTGTGAGTATGTTTACTGGGGTACTGTGAATACATTTTGGAGTTAAACCTGCAATAATAATTTAGAGTGTGCAGAACACCATTCTCCATGCTTAAATATTGTGAAGACCAGTTGAAAGGGAAAAGTGATTGTGATCCTAAATCACCAAACAGGAAACAGAAGTGTCACCTGTAGAATCCAAATCAGGAAACCAGTAACTGGCATAGATTAAATAGCACAAAGAGAATAGTTGGTTTGGGGAATTTTAAGTCAAGGAACTTTGTCCTCATAGACACAGATTTGACTTTGACAGCAAGCAATGAAACCAAGAAACTTCACTATTGAAAGACAGATGAGTAGCAGTAGTAATTTCATGTTTAATAAATCACTGATTTTAGTAATTTAGCACAAAGAAATTGCAACAGGCAAATGAAAACTAAGGAAGCAATTGGATAATTGTGACATACTTTCTGGATGACGAATCCAGAAAGATGGTACTTCCCTCTGGTACTCATTTAGCAGACGTATCTATGAATAAAAGAAAAACAGCTTGTTTGCTTTTTTTAAAAGACTGGATGGGGAAAATAACTAAATTTGAAAAAGAAATATGGGGAAACTGATTTTATACCTTTTTAAGTAAACGGATTATATCTGGGTTGCTTATATCAATACCTATTGATATGGTAGGAACATAACTATCTTCAGAAAGGAAGTACATCTCTAAATACTTTGCTGTAAAGAGATAAATAATTGCCAAATAATTTAAGAGACAAATTTTAAAAATGGTTGCTGGCTACAGAAAGCAAGTAACATTTCTCCATTTGACTTAATGAACTTACCCAAACTTGTATACAGTTCCCTTGTCATATTTAGCGGAGAGGAAGAAAATGTCTTGGCATAGAATTTCAAAACTTTGGTCCTGTAACAGTAAAAATGAAAGCTAGTTTCATAAAATCTAAACAGAATTTCAATGTGTCTTCATCAGCAGCAATGTTATAAAGAATATCTGGACTTGTTAATTTATTTCATTCCAATTTTTACCCAGCATTCTTCGAAGGCATTTCGAACTGTTGTCTTTCCGCCTCACAACAACCCTGTGAGGTAGTTTATGCTGAGAGATGATCAGTAGCCCAAAATTACCTAGTGAACTTCATGAGTGAATGGGGATTTAAATCTGGGTCTCTATAGTCCTACCCTGAAACTAACCACTATACTACACTGGCTTCTGTAGCTCTAACATACACCAGATGCACCTGTAGACTTTTCATTCTAAATAGAGTATTGTGCAAAAGCTGAAAAATATTATAATAACGTAACTCCCTATAGACTGCCAGCTGAAGCACTTGGGCCTATATATAAACACACAAACAACAGGCTATATACACAAAACATGTTGTATAGAGGCCATGCCAAAATGTACCTACAGGACCTCTACCTCAATATCTGGAGTTGCCTTGATGAAAGAACACACCACCAGTGTATCAAACAATACGATAGCTTATTGATATATTACTATATTGAAGGCAGAAGGTTTGCTATAGTCCTGGCAGGCTTTCTATTTCAGGGTTTACCTGAAGGAGCATCTCCACCCCCATCGTTCTGCCTGGACACTGAGGTCTAGCACCAAGGGCCTTCTGGCGGGTCCCTCACTGCAAGAAGCAAAGTTACAGGGAACCATGCAGAGGGCCTTCTCAGTAGTGGCACCTGCCCTGTGGAACACCCTCCCATCAGATGTCAAAGAAATAAACAACTATCTTAACATTTAGAAGACATCTTAAGGTAGCCCTGTTTAGGGAAGTTTTTAAATGACTGATGTCTTAATGTATTTTTAAACCTCCTGTTGGAAGCCGCCCAGAGTGGCTGAGGAAACCCAGCCAGATGGGTGGGGTATAAGTAATAAATAAATATTATAATAGTAAATTATTTTATTGTTATTTTACATTCATTCAAAAAATGTGTGTAACACCAACATAGCCCAAGGCCAAATGAAACCCAGCAGTGCTCTCAATGTGGCCCGTAAGCTGTTTTCCCCAAACCATGTCATATGTGGCAACAAGTGTGGGATAGGTAAGGAAGTACTTACAAAGGAACAATCAGGAGCTTAAACTGAGCTTGCAATTATTCTTTTGCAAGCAGCGACACTGTGATCACCCATCAGCACTGACAGTGTGCATGCCTGAAGTTGCCACCTGATATTGTAATGGTATGAAGTGGCTGACAGGTTGACAGCTCTGTTCACCTGTCAAAATGGCTTGTGGGGAAGCTCAGGATTCAGCCTACCAAATAGAAAAGCTTCCCGATCACTGCGATACAACAGGGACAATTAAAATGCTGCATGCAGAATTTTATGCATGCTATTCAAGGAAGAAGTAGTAGTAGTTATAAAGAAAGACATACCGTATTTTTCGCTCGATAACACGCACCTGACCATAACACGCACGTAGTTTTTAGAGGAGGAAAACAAGGAAAAAAATATTCTAAACGAAACAGTAGATGTATGATTTTTGTGGTTCATGCTGTGGCCACAGACATGTGATCTGATGGTGAGTTTTGGGGTGACCCAGTGCAAAAAATCCTGAGGATCCATGTGGATCCGTGCTTTGTAACCACGTTTAAGTGGGGAGGGAAGGAAAAGCACTCAATGGACAAGGACAACGCGTGGGGGGTGTGGAGAAGGAGCTTCTTCTGTGAGCTGAGCGGGGAGGGAAAGAACACTGTTGCTTTAAAGGTATACTTAAGGTATTTGGCCCCTGTGCTGGGGTTTTTTTTCCATTTAACAGTTTGCAGCCTTTTCCTTCTGCTCCTTGTTTTGAAGGCAGAATAGATTTGAGCAAGTGAGGAAGGACTTGATTGCAGGGGATTCGCCATTAGCTGTGTAAAAGCGCTCCTCCTTGCAGCCTGAATGATAAGCAGCCACCAGCAGCAATAGAATGGAGCACAAAAAAAAACGGTAGGGGCACTAGGACCCAGACAATGCTCAAATCTATCCTGCCTGAAAAACAGCTGAGAAGCGGGGGATAGCCTTTTTTTTTTTTACGTTCCTGGTTTTCACTGCGCTCGTGGCTCAGAGCTCCAGGTTGGTTTTTTTTGCTGCTGGTTGCTTAAATTTTATCCTTCCTGATCCAAGCCCTCCTGTCCCTCTGCAGCCTCACGTTTGAGCGCGCGGACCTTTGCTAGCTGAGGCTGCAGCAGCTGTTGCTGGCTACTTTAAAAGCGCTGCTGGCTTTGAACCGCCTGCCTTCTCCCGGCTCGCTATGGCTCCCGTCTGTCCCTCCTCCCGTGTAAGCGGCTGCTGCCCGCTTTGCTGCCATGGCTCTCCTTCCCTCCTCCCTCCTCCCCCTCCTCTCCTCCTCCTCGTAGGTAGCTTTAAAGCAAGCAAAGGAGCCCCTCCTCCTGGCTTTAAGGAAGCAAGCTAGAGCCGTGCAAAGCCCTGCAAGCGGCTCCCGCTTTGCTTGACTGACGGCAGCCACGGCTCCGATCCAGTGCATTCGCTCCGTAACACGCACAGGCATTTTCCTTACTTTCTAGGAGCAAAAAAGTGCGTGTTATGGAGCGAAAATTACGGTACTTGACCCTGCTTCATTTAAAAATCCCAATAGTCACTTTTCTACATGGAATTTCTGAGAGGTACGTGCATGTGCTTTGATTTTGAACACTATATAAATTATGATCAAGCGATACTTAGGAATGGTAAAAAATAATTTCCTTACACTGAAACTGGAATCCGGATCTGAAAGTGCTGTTGCAAGATGTTTACGTAAATTAGCCCAACTCTCACAGTTTAATATATCAGACGGAGGAGCAGAACACAATGTCTGCATAGCTTCCTGACGCACCTGCAACATCAAGGTAAGATATGGGTGTAAAAGATCACAGAGTATTATCATATCAAAAACAGAAATCTTCAACCAATGTGATGACCCGCGCGTGCACACACACACACACACACACGGTAAGGTAAAGGACCCCTGGTATGTTAAGCCCAGTCAAAAGCGACTATGGGGTGCGGTGTTCATCTCGCTTTCTGGCCGAGGGAGCTGGTGTTTGTCCAGACAGCTTTCTGGGTCATGTGGCCAGGATGACTAAACCACTTCTGGTGCAATGGTGTGGGGGGGGGGCAACCAGTGGACCATAGAATAGTCTACCCTCCTCTATATGTTGTCCACCTTTAGCTCTCCTGCACAATGCCTCCATACTTCTGCTTTCCTTAGAGTCTAGATCTCACCTTCCTCTTCCTAAGTCTCAAGCCCACATGCGTATAAAGAACTAATAACAAATCATGCCCCCTCCAAATGAGACTATCCAAGTTCAATCAAGCAATGTGAGCTTAGGATGTGCTAAAATAAAAAGTATTGTCTAAGTGGGTGTGTCCATTTGCCTTTTAGACTCACCTCCTTAGGTTGTAACCGGATCAAGCCTTTCTACCAGTAGTTGCAATTGTTCTTGATTCATGAATGTATAACTCTGTAACACATTGCAAAATGCTCATTAAGTAACTCATTAAAATTAAAAAAGATTAATACTATAATAATTAGCTATTATTAGTGAAATAAAAATTATCTTTATGGGATTCACATTATCTTAATGAAATATTAAGGGGGGTATTGTTAATTATCAAATATAAGGAAAAAATGTTACCTTTCTATTTTTAATATCCTTTCTATTTTTAATTATACAACATGTGATACATGGTTTACCAACCATAACATTTTGTAGAAATAAAGGTAAGGCATTTTGGAAAAGACCTAAACTTTATAGTGCTGCTCCCAGTAAAAAAAATCACAGAATCATAGAACTGTAGAGTTTAGAAGGGAACCTAGGATCATCTAGTCTAACCCCTGCAATGGAGGAATCATTGAGAAGGTTTAAGTACATAGTAAACATTTTGAATATTAATTAACTTTTATCTAGGAAGTAAAGTACTGTAATTAGACTTAAAGGTAAAGGTAAAGGTACCCCTGCCTGTACGGGCCAGTCTTGCCAGACTCTAGGGTTGTGCGCTCATCTCACTCTATAAGGCCGGGAGCCAGCGCTGTCCGCAGACACTTCCGGGTCACGGTAATTAGACTTAGTACTTAAATTGTATGGGGGTGCATGTACACCTTTGGTTCCCACCCTGCACTCAGCTCTAACTTGTGGCTCCTTGTGGCTCCTAGAAGCTGTCAGAATGTGACAGCTGGCCAGCTAAACCAAGTGAAGATAGCCGATGGAATTAGTGAATTATTCCATGCGTATTGAGCCCTAAGGCGGTTGGAATTAGTGCGTCAGGAAAGCTATGCAGACATTCCTAAGGCGGTTTGTATGCCTCCTTCCAGCAACTCCTGCAGCCAATCTGGTGTCAAATGTATAGCTCTGCTTCTGGTGGGCCATAATAGCAAGGCCCAAGAGTGGGGATCTTGTCATCTGAGCAGCCCAGGACCTCCATACACACTGCCCGGGCTTGCACCTCCAGGAGGTCACTTCAGTGCTGCTAACACAGCAGTTTGGCTACACCCCTGGAGGAGCCACTCCATTGTGTCTCGAGACACAGAGATGCCAACAACAACTTAAACTGACTTCAATATTGTGGGTACCCTGTACACACAGTGGAGATGTGTAGAACTGCACTGAGGTTGATGGGAAATCTTAACGGCTGTGAGAATTCTATGCATGATCTCAGAATGAGGTATTCTAACTTTCAGTGGAGATAATACAACCCCATAAAAACCAATAGGCTTCCAGCCCTCGATCTAAATGGAATGGATTTTATCTATTGATTTTGCAGTAACAATTTAAAGAAAATATAGCCTCAAGTCTGGCAGTGTAAGTCAGAGAAAAGAATTTCTCATTGATTTCATCAGCAACAAACAAGAGGAGGAACATGAAGATGAAATCATAGAAACCAACTAGGGCTCTCCATTAACTCTAATGGGAGTGTATTTAGATATGACAGCTATTTTGGTGGCATAGCTCTATGGCAGCAGGGAAGTAAGGCCCAGCCCAGGGGAGGATAGAATGGCAACTATGGCCAGCTAGTCACTCTTCCATTCCTTACCACACCCCTGCCTTCCCCTTACACCCTTGTTGTTACAAACAACATAAAAGATGGCGGCCCAGCAAGATTATTACATAGACTTGACCATACCTGATTAAATGAAGAATCACTATCAGAGCAATTATCTGTATAGTAACTGCTGTGCTGTTCTGTTTTCACCTTCCTCTGAATTTCCTTATAGCGCATCTGATCTTCTTCAAACTTGTTAATTAAAGATTCAACTACAACCATCATAACATTCTTCAGAGAATGCATCATTTCTCTATACCTTCAGAGCAGAACAAATGTTATAAAAACAAACAGACTAAAGTTCACAATCTTATTACACACAGGGTGAACTCCCTAAGCACGAACATCAATGGGACTTAGTTGTGGGTAGGTAGGTAGGTACAGTCAATAGGAAGTGATTGGTCTCTTTTTGTGGGGGCTTTGCACTGGTAGCATTGCAGTCAGAACAGAAACTTTTAAGGGGAAGCAATGGTTGGGAAGTTACCTTCAGAGATGTCCAACCATACGAGAGGGAAACCATACAAATGTTAGTACCTATTCACTCAAGGACTTTTACACGATAAACTTGAAAGTGGAGACTTAACTGGAAAATAGAAAAGGTCACAGATGGCCATAGCAAAGTGATTTACATTCAGATACAAAGCAACCAAGCCAGTATCGGGACCAAAGAGCAACAGAACAGGAAAATACAGTCTCTGTATTGCTGAACTACAAACCATATCTTGGGAAACCTGGTCAAGGCTGCCTTGGGTGTTTTTAGGTTCTATATATTTTCTGACAAGACAAAGGTGCTGTTGTGGGCAGGTGGGGAGTAAGTCTGTTCTGGATGAAGCCACTATCCCCTGTAGGAGCAGAATCAAAAGACTACACCACTTTTGTTGCTTGAGGCCCAAATAATCTCAGTTCTAGGAATGCCTATCTCCAGTTTAAGTTGATGTGCCTTCCTAGATTGCAACAGCTTTGCTGCAGTGGTCCATGCTCTGTTGAACTCTAGATTTGACTACTGTAATGCAATCTACATGGGGCTAGCATTGAAGACAGTCTGGAAGTTGCAGCAGAACACTATCATATTAGACTTTCAGAGGAACAGAGGGGAACTAGCCCCGTTGTATATCGGGGGGGGGTGTGTGGGAGAGAGTCTCTTCCTGTAAATTCCTGGGAGTTTATCTTAGTGAAGCCCTCACTTGGAAAAACAATATAACTCAGGTGGTTAGGAAGGCCCAACAGAGACTCTATTTCTTCAGGGTCTTGCGAAAGAACAATGTTAAACAACAATTGATGACCTCCTTCTACCGGTCCACAATAGAAAGTGTCCTCTCATATTGTATCACAGTGTGGTACGTTGGCTTGACAACCACGGAGAGAAAGTCTTTACAGAGGGGGGTGAACGCAGCACATGATACCATGGGCTGTCCCCTGAGCCCGCTAGATGACATCGCAAGGGATCGTTGCCTTAAGAGAGCGAGAAAAATTCTCAGGGACGATTCACACCCCGGCCAGCACCTCTTTAATCTTCTACCCTCGGGCAGGAGATATAGAAGTATAATCAGTCATACCAACAGGCTAATAAACAGTTTCTATCTGTGGGCTCAGTTACAGATAGGTAGCCGTGTTGGTCTGCCATAGTCAAAACAAAAAAAAATCCTTCCAGTAGCACCTTAAAGACCAACTAAGTTAGTTCTTGGTATGAGCTTTCGTGTGCATGCACACTTCTTCAGATACAATGGACTTCCATTTCATGCGGCTCAATGTGGTGCCTTCCATAGTTCCAGTTCCAGTTTGTATCTGAAGAAGTGTGCATGCACACGAAAGCTCATTACCAAGAACTAACTTAGTTGGTTTTTAAGGTGCTACTGGAAGGAATTTTTTTTGTTTTATCTGTGGGCTGTTAGGCTGCTAAATAGAAAATAATATAGTGCAACTGGCCACGTGACCCGGAAGTGTCTGCGGACAGCGCTGGCTCCCGGCCTATAGAGTGAGATGAACACACAACCCTAGAGTCTGGCAAGACTGGCCCGTACGGGCAGGGGTACCTTTACCTTTTTATAGTGCAACTGACTTTCGGGGTTGGTGTGTTGTGCGACAAGCACACAAGAGTACAATGGGATTGAGTGTTAGGGGGGCGGGGGAGGCTCGGTTAATTTCATTGTACACAGGTTGAACATTGACAATAAAGGTATTATTATTATTATTATTATTATTATTATTATTATACCTATCCTTCTGGAATTGCACTAAATTCCCATTTGCTACCAGGTCCAACTCAAGGTGTTAATGTTAGCATGTAAAACCCTAAACAGTTTAGAGCCCAAATGCTGGAAATACTGCCTCTTCCTGTATCTGCCTAGTCAGACACTGTAGTCTGCAGGGTAGGTCCTTAATGTGGTTCTGTCAACAGATGTATCAATGATGCAAGATAGGGCCTTATCCTTGGCAGTGCCCAGGTCATGGAACTCCCTCCCACTAGAGATTCAGTAGTCCGTCCTCCCAGTGAAAAGGGAAAGGGTACTGTGAAGTAAAGGGTATATGGGATATTTGTGCTTTTACACACTGCCTTCCTAATCACTCCCCTTTACAGTCTTAAAAAAGAAACCCATGAAGATTGAGAATCCTAAATAACAGTATCTAGCCTTGGGGGGGGGGTTATAAACAAAGGCTACCCTACAGGAATGAACATAGCCTGGGATTCATCTGTGCTCTCTAAAAATTATTTCTTTGTGCGGTTGGCTCAAAACTGACATGCCATTCCTAAATGTAAATAAATGGCTTATTAAAAATACAGCAGTCCACACATTAATTTATAAAAGCAATTAAGCACTGATTAAGTAACGAAGTTTTTCACAATGACATTTCTAATTTCCTCTCACAGAACAAGGCCATCCACATATCATTGAAATTACTATTAAAATGTTCCTAAGATTGATCTCATCATTAGAGGTTCACTGAACTTTTCTACAAGGGGTCCTCCTTACCCTTGGTACTTTCACATTCGTCTTGCAATCTCCCACTGTCTGAAGGTTATCTGGCTATATTTAAAGTCATCAACACTTCCAGTAAAATTTTGTTTGGTAAAATCTCATAACTAACTGGGCTGACAGAAACATTTCAGTAATTAGTATTTATTGAATGCACTTCTTTCCCATTGTAAATAATTATAATTGAGTTCTAATTTTGCTACTATTCACAGAAATTGTTGACAATCATATACCCTAATCCAATACCACCTATGAACACAAAAGCACAAGTATACACACAGCAGTGTCGTGCTCACAAAGGCATCCCCAATTAATGCCAAGGACAGATATGTTCTCACATCCGACAGTACCAATGTAATTCCACTGAACAGTGAAAATTCCACTTAACCGAAATCTTTTTACTGGACCACCTGACGGGCTCCAGATTAGATTAGTTTACAGTCCCTCCCTGAATCCCTTCTTAGAGGTAGAAAAGATGCATAATCATTGTGCGCATACCCCTAGCTTGTTACAGTGAGGTATTCTGCAGCACAGTGCTTTAAAGTAGCATCAAAAATAAAGATGCAGAAGAAAAAAACTACTGCAACGAATACAAAAACAACAACAACAAACAAAGAGTAATTTTTGGTGAAGGCTTGCAGATAATAAATTGACTGTACTTATTACACTGCTCCCTTCCAGAGACATTTTGTAAAATGTACTGTAAATGCAGTGAAACTTTGAACTCAGGGGGGTGGGTTGCATTCTTTGGTAAAGTACTTACTGTAAAGAGCTTATTGTACAAATTCGTCTGAATTAGTTTTAAGCAGGATATATCTTCTCAACATTTCTGGTCAAACTACACTCTACAATTTTGGCTACAATCCTATGCACATTTACATGGAAGTAAGACCCACTGAACCCAATTGGCTTACTCCTTGAGTACGCATGTATAGGACTGTGACATCATGCCATTATTCCATGGTACCTAGCACACTTGTTTGAACAAAGTAGCAGAAACAGTCATTCAGAAAGAACAGGTGTCTCAGGATATGCATGAAATGTGAGGTGCACATTAATACCAAGTCTTCCCATGCTCATACTTATGGAATCAAAATCATACCACTGACACATGAGAGAGGTATAGGCAGACTCAGCATAATTCTGAGGTACATACAAGTACCAAAACTCTGCAGGGTGGAAAGCTAAGGAAGGGAGACACCAATTATAAAAAAAACACCCAGCCCCTGAACTACTCCACAGCACAAACCAAGAAGATTAGAAGAATCTGCTGGATCAGGCCAGTAACCCATCTAGTCCACCATCCTGTTCTCATAGTGGCCAACCAAAACTATTGAGATGCAGAGGAAAAACTAACATGGTTGGGTGGGAGCAGAATAGAGCTACAGGAACAGAACACACACAACAGACATATATTCCTGGTTCACACTGAAAAACTAGGTATCTACTGAAAAAATAATAAATGTCGCTGGAATTGGATACCAAGTGCGTCTACCCCACCCCACCCTCAAAAAGATCCAAGAGGAGAGGAAAAAACAACAACCCAAAATTAGCCTAGTGAGGACTGGGCATGTTCAGTGGGCCTGGGATGCTGGCTAACGTTCAAGGAGAGGAGAGGAAAACCAGGGGGTGAGGACAGGATAAAATGGCTGGAAACTACCGTATTTTTCGCACTATAGGACGCACTTTTTCCCCTCCAAAAATGAAGGGGAAATGTGTGTGCGTCCTATGGTGCGAATGCAGGCTTTTGCTGAAGCCTGGAGAGCGAGAGGGGTCCGTGCGCACCGACCCCTCTCGCTCTCCAGGCTTCAGGAAGCTATCCCAAGTCTTGCAAGCCCGGCGGGATGTCCCGCGGGCTCGCAAGGCTTGCGGGCAGCAGCCTGCACCCAAAAGCTGGGGACAGCGGGGAGGCGCAGAGCCGCCACCCCGCTATTCCCCGACCTGATCTGGAGGCTGGCGGGGGGAGAAGCAAGCCTGCTTCTCCCCCCCAGCCCCACAAGCTCGGGGGATAGGGGGATGGCGAAGCGCCGCCATCCCGCTATTCCCCGACCTGATCTGGAGGCTGGGGGTGGGAGAAGCAAGCCTGCTTCTCCACCCCCACCATCCCCACAACCTCCAGATCAGGTCGGGGAATAGCGGGATGGCGGCGCTCCGCCATCCCGCTATTCCCCGACCTGATCTGGAGGCTGGGGGTGGGAGAAGCAAGCCTGCTTCTCCCCCCCCCAGCCCCACAACCTCCAGATCAGGTCGGGAAATAGCGGGATGGCGGCGCTCCGCCATCCCGCTATTCCCCGACCTGATCTGGAGGCTGGGGGTGGGAGAAGCAAGCCTGCTTCTCCCCCCACCAGCCCCACAACCTCCAGGCTTCAGGAGAGCCCCACCGCCAGCCCCACAAGCTCGGGGGACAGCGGGAGAGGCGCAGCGCGCCCTTCCCGCTGTCCCCCGACTTGGCTAGAAGGCTGGCGGGGGGAGAAGCCTGCTCCTCCCCGTTGCCAGCCCCGCAAACTCGGGGGACAGCGGGAGAGGCGCAGCGCGCCTTTCCCGCTGTCCCCCGACTTGTCTAGAAGGCTGGCGGGGGGAGAAGCCTGCTCCTCCCCGTCGCCAGCCCCGCAAACTCGGGGGACAGCGGGAGAGGCGCAGCGCGCCTTTCCCGCTGTCCCCCGACTTGTCTAGAAGGCTGGCGGGGGGAGAAGCCTGCTCCTCCCCGTCGCCAGCCCCGCAAACTCAGGGGACAGCGGGAGAGGCGCAGCGCGCCTTTCCCGCTGTCCCCGACTTGTCTAGAAGGCTGGCGGGGGGAGAAGCCTGCTCCTCCCCGTCGCCAGCCCCGCAAACTCGGGGGACAGCGGGAGAGGCGCAGCGCGCCTTTGCCGCTGTCCCCCGACTTGTCTAGAAGGCTGGCGGGGGGAGAAGCCTGCTCCTCCCCGTCGCCAGCCCCGCAAACTCGGGAGACAGCGGCAGGGGCGCAGCGCGCCCTTCCCGCTGTCCCCCGACTTGTTTAGAAGGCTGGCCCAGCCCCGCAAACTCGGGGGACAGCGGGAGAGGCGCAGCGCGCCATCCCGCTGTCTCCCGACATGGTTTGGAGGCGGGCGGAAGGCTTCCTCCTCCCCCAGCCCCGCAAGCTCCCAGAGCGATGCCAAAGCTGCGCGCAGCTTCGGCATGGCTCTGGGTCCCGTTCTGGGGGAGGGGGAAGCTCGGGCTTCTCCGCCCCAGCCCCGCGCCTGGCGGGGGGGGGGGATAAATTTTTTTTGCCTTTATTTCCCCCCCCCCAATCTAGGTGCGTCCTATGGACCGGTGCGTCCAATAGTCCGAAAAATACGGTAACATTCCACACTGCACTATTTTGTTGCAGGGCCACTTGTTTGAGTTTTAATGCCAGCATAAATTTTTTTTTTCTGACTTAAGCAAGGAAATATTACAAACAATGTCAAATCTGAAGCCAATCTTTCAGAAGAGTTACAATAATGAAGGGACACGATTTCAGAAGGACAGTGTCAGGAACCGACATGTACTCACTCTTTTGATTCTCGAGTCTTTTTAGTAACATGCTGTACCAGTGTATCATAGCCAGATCCTTCACCCTGATTTTGTGCAGATGTACATTTATCAGTTTCTTCTTCTATTACGGAGCCCAGCATGCTACTTATATACTGTCTGAGATATTTCACAAATTCATAGCTGTAATAAACATGTAAAGTATAACTTACTTTGTGCTGTTGTATTTTCAATGTTATATAAACTGTATTTCATCAGGCTACTTCTAGAATTCTGTACAGCAGGAGTTGGTCTAGGAACTTGTGGTCTTCCAGATGTTACTTCTATCATCTCTGACCACCAGCCACGCTGGCTGGGGCTGATGAGACATCTGGTTGTTAGATTCCACAGGTTCCCCACCTCTGCTGTAGAGGGTCATGAAAGATTAGCAGATTTTTAACAGTAGATTTGCAGAGGTGAAAAGAAACTAGGTATTTAACTCACACCGAGCTTTGAAAGAATTTGTGGTCTATCTGCCAACTGGAAAAAATAAAGTATTTCTCCGTAAATACTTAGTGTACATAATCCTATGGCTGCAAAATTATCAAACACACATAAAAAAGGAAAATGTAAAGATATATCTAATGTCTCAAAAACCATAGTTCACAAATGTTTTCAGTTATTATACAAAGTGCCACAAAGCAGCCTGCTAGATTTGTACAGATGGCTCAATATTTTTTTCCCATTCCAAAATATCTTACAATTAACCACTTGCCCACAGACCTGGGGCAAGCAATAATTCTTTCCACATGAGTAGCTTGGTAGAAACACCCTGTGAATGACAGACAAGCATTTAACTAAGTTGGAAATTGTTTCTTAAAGACATCTGCAGGATTGTAACATCTCAATTTCTAAAATCAACTGACTTGAACATTATATGTATGAGTACCCGCAATGTTCTAACAACTCACAATCAAAAACATTGCTCACTGCCAGTCATCAGCTGCAAAACTGCAGCAGCAAGTTTCCCCACATGGATCAGCAGTCACTATTCAGTTCCTTCAATAATGACACAAAAATAAACTTTCAAAAAAATTACTTGTGAAAATTTTCATCTGTTTCCTCCAGATGTAGAAGAATCTCTTCTGCACACTCTACTGATGGCGCTCCTGTGATTTTTTCTTTGACACTTTGCAGTAACTGTCTGAGCATAGACTGCAAAAGAGCTTCATCTTCACTAGAAAAATGAGACATCTAAAGAAATAAGCATAAACATCGTATTTCTGTAATACTCAGTAATACACAACTCACTCTAAGCTTTTACAGATTTAGACTGAAAGGAAATGAAGCCTAATAAGTTCTTAGCAGAAATATGAGATACAGAAATCTAATTCTAATTTTATATGATTATTATCTGCTGTTGCTGTATTACCTGCATCCCATGGGCCCAAATTCCTGTTATTTTCTTTCCTTTACTGCCTTTCTCTCAGGCAGCAGTGACACAGGTAAAAGGAGTGCTATTTTATATGTCTTTATTAGCATGAATGGGCCTACAGATATGGCTTTGGGCTGACAATGGATGATCAAGGTCATAAAAAGAAAGTGTTAGGTTTTCTTGGCATCCTTAAATAATTCCTCCATTCTTAGAAATGTGAAATCCATCAAATTGGAAATTGGGATTTTGGGAAATTGATTTTGGGCAGAGGTAGAGACACCTTAATAACTTGTGAGGAACTTAGGGTTGTATCCAACTAAATCTTATTCAAAGAAAACCCATCAAAATGAAGTCAGCTAAGTTAGTCATGCCCATACAAGGGGCACTCTCTGAGTTTTATTAACATTAGAAAAACACCTTAATCTAATGTAGTACTGAAGACAACTCAGTTAATACTTGAACCTTTCATGGCAAAGGACTTCAGTGAAACTAAATGAATGCTTGATGTATTTTACCACATCAAAAACAATGGCCATACATATGGAATCATGACTACACCCAAACAAAAGTCAGTTCAGAGAAATAAATGCCTAGGGAGCAATCTATAGGAAGAGCTACCAGGATGTGCAGGGTTAGGATCTAGCAGATCTCTGGCTGAGAGTTACCAGCACGGCTGGACTACACTGACTTAACTCCTTCCATCCTTGGCTTAGCAGGAGATAAAGGTAAAGGTAAGGGTACCCCTGCCCGTACGGGCCAGTCGTGACCTACTCTGGGGTTGCGCGCCCATCTCGCTTAAGAGGCTGGGGGCCAGCGCTGTCCGGAGACACTTCCGGGTCACGTGGCCAGCGTGACGATGCTGCTCTGGCGAGCCAGCGCCAGCGCAGCACACGGAAACGCCGTTTACCTTCCCGCTATAAAGCGGTACCTATTTATCTACTTGCACTTAGGGGTGCTTTCGAACTGCTAGGTGGGCAGGAGCTGGGACCGAAAGACGGGAGCTCACTCCGCCGCGGGGATTCGAACCGCTGACCATACGATCGGCAAGTCCTAGGCACTGAGGTTTTACCAACAGCGCCACCCGCGTCCCCTAGCAGGAGATACACCAGCTTATTTCCCCGCCCCTGCCATGTTCCTGGAACATCTCACCTGATGGTCTTGGCTCAGCTGGGATGGGGGAGATATGCAAAAGGGTGGTGTAACCGTTGTCAAGGTTTGTTTTCTCTCTGCCAGGCTTGGGCCAGCTCAGCCAGTAGCCCCATTAGGCTCTGGTGTATGGTACTTCAAATCAGTTTAACTTGACGCCACTTTGCACTAGCTTCTTGTGTATAGGATTGCTCCCCTAATGTCACATTCCTCTGCACCTTGAACGCAGGAATAAATCCTCCTAAACTCCATAAAGATACTTCCAAAGTAAACATATACAGAATTATCAGGGACGGATTTAGGCTTGATGAGGCCCTAAGCTACTGAAGGTAATGGGGTCCTTTATATGTCCAGCTGCCCTTTGTCAACAACAAATTGTTGCTGTTTTTTGTGTGCTGAATATATGCTATATGGTAATTTATGGACCTAAAAGGTACCTAAAGCCATTTGCACATAACAAAATATGCAACCAGTCCATTAAGAATGTAGGCACCCTATATATAGAAATGAGCAAACCAGTGATATTTTAGGGAACAGGATAGCAGGCCATTACTTACATCTTAGCACCAAACACTGTTGCTGAACGTAGATTTTATTTTATTTGTTTTTAATCTTATATTTTGGAACTGTACATTCAGGGGTTTTTTCCTTTAATTTTTTGGGGGCCCCCACGAGAGTGGGACCCTAGGCTATAGCTTGTTTAGCTTATATGTAAATCCAGCACTGAGAATTATGCAATTAAGAAGTTTACTGTGTACTTAAGATTCCACCAATTTAAATGGGTTTTAGCTGTGAATTGAAAAACATCAACTACCTGCCCTTACATATTCTATGTTTGGGTGGGGAAACCAAGAGTTGGAAGGTTCCGTAAAGGGGCAGAAAGGCAGGAAGAAAGGGTGCATTGCAAGATGGCAATACAACATGGGTAGCTTTAAACCTGAGCGTTGATTTTTCGAGACAGCAGAGTGGCCAGCTAACATGGGAGAGCCAGTTTCAACAGAAGAGTTTCAACAGCTTTTCACAGCAACTTGGTCCGCAGCAGTTTATCAGGTTCCCTTCCACGGCGTTCAAAGCGTCACCTGCAGCGCAAACTCCTGCTTTGCGCAAATGGCACCGAAACAAGTCGCGGGGAGGCGGACAGAGCATAAGCCGTGGGCGGCGGGACAAGAGCGAGGAGAGACCAGCGTGGAAAGAGCCCGGTAGGTGTTCCCGCCCGCGCCCCGGCGCCCCTGCGCTGCCAATCCCGGGGGAGCTCAACTGCCCAAGAAGCGCGCCTCACGGGAGGATGGCAGCCTAAGGCTGCGCGGGATGGGGAGGCGCAGCGAGAGCGCTTACCTTGGGCGAGAGGAGGGCGCTCTCTGCCCTCGGCCGCCGAGGGGCCTAGAAAAGGAACTGGGGCGCTCTCCCGGGTAGGAGCCTCCGGAGCGACGCCCTCCACTCCGGGAGAAAGAGCGAGGGTGGGATTCGCCTTCCAGCTGCTACACAAACTCTCAACTTCTCCCCCGGGCGCGGCCCTTAGCAACCGCCCACCGCAGCCTCGCTCGCCGCACGGACGTCCCTAGCAACGGCGCCGGGGAGATATGCGCCGCGCGGAGGTTGCCGGGAAAGGGGCGGGGCGAGCAAGTGAGAATACCAAGCTCGCGCTTGATTATTCCAATAAGGGGCTCCCCGCCCACAAGGCGGGGTGCAAAGGCTTGAAGATCCCGTTTGCATTGAAATCAACGTGGCACAGATCGTATTGCATAGCTGCTCCATATTATATGTGTATTGACTTGTTGGCTGCATGTTTCAACCGCCCGTTGACAAGCTCTCCGGACAGCGGACAGTAAATGTTGTTTGTTGAGGCTGCGATCCTATGCTCGCTAGTCCAAGAGTAAGCCCCATTAAATTGAGTGCATGCGGTCTGGCTGAAAAGGATAGGCTAGGTTAGGGGGGGAGACCCAGATTGCGTGCCCCCGAACGATTGTTTCAAACCACAGTCTACCTCCATGTTCCCTAACTTTTCCAGCCCCCCCCCCGGTTGCATAAAGTCACCCCAAGGGACCCCTGCCCTATACAAAGCATTATTTACACCTCTAGTGTCCTGCCACCCCCTTGCCTTAGTGCCCCCCTAGGTGATCACACTGCCCCCCAGGGAGCAGTACAGCACACTTTGGGAAGCAATGGGCTGCCTTATGCCCTGGATGATTAAATCCAGTCAAAGGCGACTGGGGTGCGGCGCTCATCTTGCTTCAGGTCAGGGGAGCTGGCGTTTGTCCACAGACCGCTTTCCGGGTCATCTGGCCAGCATGACTAAACCACTACTGGTGCACGGACGTCCGTGACGAGCACCAGAGCACATGGAAACGTTGTTTACCTTCCCGCCGCAGTGGTATCTATTTATCTATTTGTACTGGTATGCTTTTGAACTGCTAGGTTGGCAAAAGCTGAGACAAAGCAACAGGAGCTCACCCCATCATGGGGACATAGCTGTCAACTTTTCCCTTTTCTTGCTAGAATCCTATTCGGAATAAGGGAAATTCCCTTTAAAAAAGGGAAACATTAACAGCTATGCACGGGGATTTGAACCACTGACCTTCTGATCAGCATGCCCAAGAGGCTCAGTGATTTAGACCACAGCGCCACCTGCTCCCACAATTTGTTGTAGAATGCAGCCAATAGAAGTCTTGCAGATTGCACAGGAGGGTCAGCAATTGGATGGCTAACCAAGCTTCCTTTCAGGGACATTTCCCACCATTATCTTTTCATTGAGGCATTCCTGATAAACTTCCCAGGCATTTCAAGGTTTCCTGGAGCATAGCTTGGAAGTTCTGCTGCTCTATGAGTACAGCTTTCTGTGACCCAGAAGATCACTGCAATTTGTAAAAAGTATTAAAATAATACATTTTTGTGAAAGAGATGCAACATGGTCTCTTGGCTCTGAACGCTGCCTTGAAGAAGAATTCAAGGGGCTTGAATGCTTGCAGACCTTTTATAGAGCTAAAAAGAGAGTGGCTTATCTTGGCCTTTCTTTTTGTGAGACTGAATATACCTATCATCAAAGCAAAAATTGGTGTTACCCAAGTATGATACAGTATTAGGAACTAAAGAAACTGAAGGTGCCCTGTGGCATGAAATCGAAAGCAGTGTATGTTGCACAAGTTTTCCAAAACATATGGAAGATAGTTCCAAATACTATCTACTGCAGGGGTAGCTAATGCATAGCTGTCAACTTACAGATTTAAAAATAAGACACCAGCAGCATCGAAAATAAGGGATCAGCAGCCAAAATAAGGGATTTTAGTCAACCAGCAGCCAAATGAAGCCTCAAGTGGTGGTTCCCACAGCGCAGCAACCCGGCAAAGGGGATGCTGCACGGAAAACCACCGTCAACTCTCCGCTGTGAAGCGCTGAGCAAAGGCGAGTCCCCAGGCAACACGGCCAATTTGATCGGCACAAAGCATGCAAGCTCCACCCCCCCAGTCGTTCTTAGACTCCTTATTGGGTGAGCAACGCAGCCAAGCAGCACAGTTGGAGCCTCCCTCCTCCCTGGCCGGCAGGGAGTGAGTGAGAGGAGCTGCTTCCTTTGAAACCCTGGAAATTTAAGGGACATCATCAATAAGGGACAGCAACAGGGACACGGTGCTGGGATAAGGGACTTTCCCGCCAAATAAGGGACAGTTGACAGCTATGAGCTAATGTACCCTCCTGGTGTTTTTTAACTACAATTCCCATCACCCCTCTTTACTGGCCATGCTGAATGAGCCTGTTGTAGCCCAGCAACATCCGGAGAGTGCCATGTTGGCTACCCTTGATCTATGCTGTCTCAAGCCACTGCAGTTTTGATCCTAGATTCCAAAATCTTTCTTTTGAACCCTGTGAGTCCTTCCCTTTATTTGCTGTGCTGTTTCTGTGAAAAAAATGTCTCTGTCAATACTGGAGTGGTGGAAGTACAGAGGACCCTCTTTTATGTGATCTGTTCTGTCTTTAGTTCCAGTTTTCCAGCAAGAAGACAGTAGCAACAAATTCATTTAGCCATAACAACAACAACAACCATTTATTATTTGTACCCCACCCATCTGGCCGGGTTTCCCCAGCCACTCTTGGCAGCTTCCATAGAAACCAAAAATACACTAAAATAAGGTAAAGGTACCCCTGCCCGTACGGGCCAGTCTTAACAGACTCTAGGGTTGTGCACCCATCTCACTCAAGAGGCCGGGGGCCAGCGCTGTCCAGAGACACTTCCGGGTCACATGGCCAGCGTGACAAAGCTGCATCTGGCGAGCCAGCGCAGCACACGGAAACGCCGTTTACCTTCCCGCCAGTAAGCGGTCCCTATTTATCTACTTGCACCCGGGGGTGCTTTCGAACTGCTAGGTTGGCAGGTGCTGGGACCGAGCAACGGGAAGCGCACCCCGCCGCGGGGATTTGAACCGCCGACCTTTCGATCGGCAAGCCCTAGGCGCTGAGGCTTTTACCCACAGCGCCACCCGCTAAAATATCACACATTAAAAACTTCCCTGAACAGGGCTGCCTTAAGATGTCTTCTGAATGTCAGGTAGTTATTCATTGCTTTGACATCTGATGGGAGGGCGTTCCACAGGGCGGGCGCCACTACCGAGAAGGCCCTCTGCCTGGTTCCCTGTAGCTTTGCTTCTCAGAATGAGGGAACCGCCAGAAGGCCCTCGGCGCTGGACCTCAGCGTCTGGGCAGAACGATGGGGGTGGAGATGCTCCTTCAGGTATACTGGGCCGAGGCCGTTTAGGGCTTTAAAGGTCAACACCAGCACTTTGAATTGGATCCCCTGCCTTCCCTTTGCAAACAGGGAAGGGATCAAGTAGCTTATCCACATCAAGAAAGTAGCTATCTACCAACACAACTAAAAGAAGTGCACATTTTACCACCACTTGAAAATGCCTGCTGCAAAAAGTTTTTTGATTACTTTTATTTTTAAGTAATCAAAACTTTTTGCAATGAAGACATTCCAGCTGAGTTTTTAAAAACCCTTCAAAGACACATTTGCAATGCAGTGCAATGATCTTGAAATGTTAAACACACACGCCATAGTTAATCCTGAAGGAGATTCTTTCCTCCTTATAAATGATCGCTAGAAATGTGTCAGAGTAATGCTGCATCATACATATTAATAGATGGAACACTTTTCAGCAGCTGGCTGTTCTAAATAATATAGAGATGCATTACAATTAATACACATCATAGAGAATTATGATGTAGAGCATGTATTATACACAGCTAAGCGTTGTGCAAAGGCTATATCACTTTTAAGAATATTTATAAAGATGTTCTAGTTATTTTGTACCCCAAATAGGCTTAAAGTATTTTCAGTGCTTATCATTGTGGCTGCAACATAGTGGTAATACCGGTATATCCTATTCAAGTGGACTCTTCTGTATGTCAAATCTTTCTGAACTTAAAGGTGTAACTTGAAGCTGAGTTCAACTATGTCTCCAATATTATTTACTTTGGTGGACAATAGCTTTCTAGGGCCTCCAGTTCTCTCCCATCACCTGCTACTTAGTCCTTTAAAAAAAGGATATGTTGGGTTGAACCTTGGACCTTATACATATAAAGGATGTGCTGTAACTTCCATCTGATTGGGGGTGGGGGGGAGCACATCTCAAGAATTTGAAGTGCCTTAGCTTTGTGGAGGCCTCAGCAATTCACTTTTTGACGACTGAGGTTCAATATTTTATACCCTCTTTAATGCAGAGTGTACCGACAGATGTGAGCATGACTGAGTATTGTGTCTTTATGGTGATTGCTCAGTTTGTCATCCAAACAGAGGCAGAGAAAAATGATGCCATCACTGAATAGGTAAAACTTTGCCTGGTTTTAGCCAGGGATCAGCAAACTTTTTCAGCAGGGGGCCAGTCCACTGTCCCTCAGACCTTGTGGGGGGCTGGACTATATTTTTTTGGGGGGGGGGAATAAATAACGAATTTCTATGCCCCACAAATAACCCAGAGATGCATTTTGAATAAAAGGACACATTCTACTCATGTAAAAACACGCTGATTCCAGGACCATCCGTGGGCTATATTTAAAAGGCAATGGGACTGAATCTGGCCCCTAGGCCTTAGTTTGCCTACCCATGGTTTTAGCTATATTGGGAGTTTCTTGGACCTCTTTATTCCACATCTCTAACTTTTAATGAGATGCTGTGTGTGCCTCTTTCATTTTGCAAGTTTCCTACTAAATCATTGAATAATTATATTGCTGCTGTATTTCATTCATTAGTCTTCCATTTATGTACCTTATGGTGTTGTTGGGTATTAGATTGCATATAACTCAGATATTTGATTGCATATAACTCAATATAATACCAAGTCACTGATTTTCATCAACTTAACAGATGTCTACATTGTATGTCAAAAGAGCTATAAACAAAAGGTGGCAAATTGTTGTTTTTCTTTAACATTTACTAAAGGAAGAGCAGAACACAACAAATACTCTCATTACAAAGAAATATATTAACCAAAGATCTAGAGACAATAGCATTCTTGAACATCATATCCCATATAGTGTTTTTTCAAATTTGAATTTTATACAGATGGCTTCATTTTATAACACACCATTTGTCACCATAT